TGCCCCAGCCTCCTGGAGCTATGGGGGCGCGACACACCTGGCCCTCCCCAGGTGCGTCTGACGAGTTTTTCAACTCGTTTTCTGATCCTAAATCATTTTAAATCGATTTCTTTTCTCAATAGTTTCTTTGATCCAGATACCCAACACATGTACACTAGAATCTAACTCGAAACAACTCTTAACATCGCTAAAACGTCTCAAGGAAACCCATCAATCACATGTAAGTTCAAGAAAGAAAACAATTCAAGAACACAACTCAAGAACATCAAATTCTAACTCTTTTAGGAAGAAAATCACTGAATTAAACATGCTTGGTGCATGGGTGAACTAACCCAACGCTATGTGATCTCGCATACCTTGTAGGGATCACCCCCGACAAAATCCACAAGCTAATCTTGAACGAATCTTGAACGTTCTTGCTTCCCCTTCTCCTTTCTCTTTTCTCCAAGCCCTAGCGTGAAATTCACTTTTCTAAAATGGACTAAAATCTGATTTGACCCATATTAAACTCCTAAAAACAGATTAAAATAATAGTGCAAGAAAAAGACTAAAATACCCCTTAAAAATCCGGATTGGACATTTCCTTATTTGAACAGCCCAACTTCCGAAGGGGATAACTTGCTCATACGAACTCGAAATCACTCAAACTTGGCGGCGTTGGAAAGATCATTCCAAGGGATTTCCAACCATATCTGGAATCACACCTAACTCATCCTGAGCTAGGAATTATGGCTGTTTGAAGTTGACCAAAAACTCACTTTAACACCTTTACCAAATTTCCAAATTTTTAAATTCTTCCCAAAAATAACTATTTCCAGATTTTAAACTTCATTCTAGTTCTTTCTAGTTGCGAGATGTTACAGAGACGGGGGTGGTCCATCATCATGTGATGGGAAATATCATAACAATAATGAAAGAATAGTAGCATTGTCCACTAGATGGTTCGGCGGACGTTCGAGGTGTGGTAAAATGATATTAATTCGTGCTAATAATGGAAAGACCGTAACGGCTAAAGTGGTGGATGAATGTGATTCTACTATGGGTTGTGATGCGGAACATGCTTTTCAAAGTCCATGCAAAAATAACATAGTGGATGGTTCTATTACTGTGTGGAGAGCTTTAGGGTTGGATACAGATTTGGGTATTGTCCCTGTCACTTGGTCCATGGTTTAGGTCAACATGGAGCGATCGTTACAATTATGGATTCGATAGAATTCAGTAACTTTATATAGCTCAAATTATATACTTATTGAACAAGCGTGTCATCTTACATGTAATAAGATGTGCATTAGCGTTCTTTAAAAATAATCAACTACGGTATAATTTCATACTAATAATATTCTTCTTTCATCTCAATTTATGTTGTGATGTTTGACCTTCTTTTTTTTTAATATCATGGCATCACCCCTTTGAATTTGCGAAACTACTTCCTCTGGTTGAATACAAATTATGAATTTGATAAAATTCAGTAACTTTATAGCATAATTGAATAGGCATATCATCTTACATGTAATAAGATGTACATTGGAGTCACTTAAAAATAATAAATTACGATATAATTCCTAACTAATAGTAATGTTTATGTGGTGATCATGTTTGACTTTTTTTTTAATATCATGTCACGATTTTATTACCCCTTGGAATTTGCAAAATTACTTCCTCTAATTTTTAGCATAAGGAAGTCATCATAAAATAAGAAGTTTATAATTAAATTAGTATTTTTTTTTTAAATATAGAAATGTGATATTTTAAGGGGACAATTTTATAAAAATAAAAATATAATATAATAAGTCATATAAATTAGAAGGGTAGAGTACTAATTAATTATGAGTATAATATATTGGGGTTGCAAGAATTATGTTAATCACTTAATTGTTATTCTGTTTTAAATCGTTATCAAAATGGGTAAGTGCTTCCTATGGGAAATATTTGTAACTTAATTATCCATCATAAAATCATCGATAAATACGTGATAAATATATATATCCATCATATTCTATCATTAATCTTTCTATTGTGATTGTTTCGACCATTAAAATGGTTGATATTTTAAGATGGTGAAATTAATCCTCCTTACTTATTCCTGGATTCTTATTTTATCCCTTTGTTTATTCACTTATTTATGTAATAGACTTGTTTTTTTTATCTTTTTATAGTTTGGTGGAAAATATTTAGAAATATATTTATCCATTATTGAGTCAAAAATGAATATATTAATTAATTAGTAGCCACTGCCTAGGAAAAGAGTACTACTCTCTATGGTCTACTTTTATCCCTTATTACTAGGGGTGTGCACAATTCGGATTAAACCGAATAACCAAAACAAATTAAATCGAATTTTTATTTGGATTGGTTTTTGGTTTTTCGAATTGATTTTGGATTAATAAATTACTTTGTTTGGTTTTTTGGTTTGGTTTTGGATTTTAAAAAATAAAAATCGAAAAATCGAAAAAAAAACGAATTATATGTATGTGTGTGTGTATATATATATATATATAAATGTTTATGTTTAGAATTAAGTTGGAGTTAACCACTTTTGTCCCTTTTTGGTTATTGCATTTCATCATGATTACGTTTATATTTTATATTTGAACATCTATAATAGGTATAATTATAAGTATTGTGTTTTAAGTTTTACTTATGATTTATATTATAAAGTATATTTAATTAAGAGAATCAATATTATTACTTTGGTTATGTTATTAATTATTGACATAACCGAATAACCACACCGAAAAAAAGCCGAACCGAATAAAGGAAAACCAAACCAAACCAAATTTATTTTGGATCGGATTGGATTACACTTTTACAAATCAAAAACCAAAAAATCCAAACTGAATAGTGAAAAACCGAATGCACACCCCTACTTATTACTCTCCTTTTACTTCTTGATTTCCCTAATGTTAATTATTTGAAAAATTAATTAAATAATACAAAATATTTCCATCTAGTTCTTTCTTTTTCTGATTAAATAGTATAACATGACATGCAACTGTTTTTAAAAAATTTGTTCAAGGTTTGGGAAGAAGAAAAAAAAAAGGAAGAAAAATATTATTTGTGAATTAGTTAATCGATTATACAAAAGCTATTAGTACTAAGGACTTCCTCACTATATTTAGGGAAATATATATATATATATATATATATACCCTTAAATGCTTCATTACTTTCATACCCTCTTTTTATTTGAAAATGACATATAATTCACGCGCCAACGTCAAATTGATGTTTGTGCCTACCCTTTTTTTCTCTCTGATACCATCTTAGTATATTACAGTATATGAATATACTTTGATCGTATCAAAGAGTAACTGAGCAGTGTCTTCATTGAAGGATTGTTTCTTCCTCCTGGATACTATCAAAATATAATATACTTTGATGGTATTAATGAATAACTGGACAGTGTTTTCATTGAGGTTTGCTTCAATCCTTCGATGAGATTACTCAATCATCCATGATACAATTACGGTATATCTACATATTGTCGTGGTACTATTGAGGTATGTTTCAATTCTTCAATATTATAATTTAAAACAGTTTTTAAAAAAGACATAACGTAGATACAATTTTTTAAAAATTTGTAAAAAGAGAAAAAAAAACTTATATTTTTCTACTAATTTAGAGTTTAATAAATAAGATTGTAACTTTAATAATTTTCTTTTAATTGTTTCTTCTTTATTTCTTAAAAAAGAGTTCAATCCTATATGATACCAATAACTATAAGGTATCAATATATAGACGGAGCATCACAGAGGATTAAACTCAATTTATATGATATCATTATGGTATCAATATACCAACGGAGTATCACAAAGAATATATTTTCTACTAATTTAGAGTTTAATAAATAAGATTGTGACTTTAATAATTTTCTCTTAATTGTTTCTTATTTATTTCTTAAAAAAAAGAGCACAATCCTATACGATACTGATAGGGTTCAATATATCGACATAGTATCACAAAGGATTAACTCAGTCATATATGATACGGATATGGTATTCAATATACCGACAGAGTATCACAAAAGATTCATTCATAGTAGTGATGTTGATGCCATGGTGACATCATAGAAAGAAGAAAGTGGGGCAAGTGGGTAAATAGTTTGGATCATGGGTCCATTAAGGATAAATAGTTTAGGTTGGATCCAATTTGGATAAATAGTTACAAAATTTGGCCGATTTTATGTAGTTTTCCCCTATATTCATGGTATAATGACTAGCTCATAGTCATTAGCTTTTTATGGATGCATTTTAGTGAATGGTCTTTTTTTCTTATTTCTCATTTAGTGTTCGATATTTTTATTGAGATTCAATATTTTTATTGGGATTCGATAAAACTTGAATTCGCGTGTGTTGCATGAAAATAACGCTTCCAATAAAAAAAAATGATTTCCAAAAAATTAAATTTGATCCCTCTGATTAAGGATAATTCTGAATTATCCTACCACAATTTACGTTAATTAATTAATCAACTTGCTAGTCCATCTATTAGTCAGAAAATATCAGAAGCCGTGCATTCAAGTCTTAGCTTTGAATATCCAGAAAAAGTCTAATTTTGCGAACTATCGCTATGAAAATTGTGCATAGGGTAGCCAAATTAAGCTCATAAAAATAGGACTCGTCCTACCCTATTTAAAATTTGGAATAATCATGGCTTTCAGGTCAGCTTGCACACATATCTCGTAACTTTTTTCATCAAAACTAGAACAAATGAAAAGAAATTACTTAATGTTTTGTCTTTGCTAGAATTTGAACCAGAAACCTCATGGTGCTCGATCAGCTCACTTCATATCCGACTTTTTTTCAAGTAAAACTTGAGTCGAACTATAAACCATTGTTTAATCTTATCTTGAACCAGAGACCTCATGGTGCTCGATCAACCCACTCCATATCCGTCCATTTGTCACGTTTGCAACTATACTAGCCAAAAATTACATCTCACAGTATCTTTTCTTCCTATATATATTCATCCATTTGGACAGTTTTCTTCACCCATCAACACTTTCTTACACATATAACCTTTTCAATCATTACAAAATAGCCACAATGTCCAATCTAGCCTTTCTTTCTCTAATTTTAACCATTTTCATCTCTACTTCTAACGCCATTTCCCAATGTAACGGCCCTTGTAAAACTTGGGACGATTGTGATGGTCAATTAATCTGTATAAACGGAAAATGTAACGATGATCCTAACGTTGGAACCAAAGTTTGCAAAAGTAACCCTCCTTCCGTTCCATCTCCAACTCCAACCAATACATGTCGTCCGTCTGGCACAATCAATTGCAACGGTGTGCACCCAATATACCGTTGCTCGCCACCTGTCACCTCCTCAACGCCCGCTCAACTGACCCTCAACGATTTCAGTGAAGGCGGAGATGGTGGTGGTCCATCATCATGTGATGGGAAATATCATAATAATAATGAAAGAGTAGTAGCATTGTCCACTGGATGGTTCGCGGGACGTTCAAGGTGTGGTAAAATGATACTAATTCGCGCTAATAACGGAAAGACCGTAACGGCTAAAGTGGTGGATGAGTGTGATTCTACTATGGGTTGTGATGCGGAACATGCTTTTCAAAGTCCATGCAAAAACAACATAGTGGATGGTTCTATTGCTGTGTGGAGAGCTTTAGGGTTAAATACAGATTTAGGTATTGTTCCCGTCACTTGGTCCATGGTTTAGGCCAACGTGGAGCGATCGTTACAGTTATGGATTCGATAGAATTCAATAACTTTATATGTCTCAAATTATATAATTCTTGAATAAGCGTGTCATCTTACATGTAATAAGATGTACATTAGAGTTTCTTAAAAATAATCAACTACGATATAATTTCTTACTAATAATGTTCTCCTTTCGTCTCAATTTATTTTGTGATGTTTACCTCTTTGTATACTTCTAAATATCAAGATTTAGTTTTGAATTTGGGATATGCAAACATGTATTGAGAGGATTAAGAAAAAGAGGGAGATGGTGGAGGTGTTTGAAGATCGTGAGGGTAAGAGATAGAGACGGATTGGGGGAGGGAAAGACATAGGTGAGAGAAAATAATTTAAATTGCTAATTTACCATTAATTAAGGAATTTAAATTTTAAGATAATTATTTAATATCATATTTAAGAGATATGTGTATCTGATTAAATATTTTAAAATATATGGTATAAATATTAAAAGTGATATTATGTTAATTTTTTAAAAGTATAGGTAAATTAAGTATATCTTTCTTTTTTATTATAAATTTCAAAAGTCTTTATGTCTAGCACCAATTATAGAAAGTCTGAAAATTGCAAAAATGCAAAAAAGGAGGACGGAGTGCAAGGTCATATTGCACTATCAAAAAATGGTATAATACTGAAATGTGTTCTTTAACTTGATATCAACTGACATCTATACATTTTAATTTTGAATGTGCAAGGTACATAAATTTGTATAGAATTGAACAATTACACACATATGTCTTACGCAGTGTTTTAAAAGGCGAGAGCATGAAACGGGGCATTTTACTTAGTGTAGGGGGAGGCGTAAGCCTTGAGACGTGGGGCGTAATCCCTATGAATCTTTAAATTTTTAATTTAGGGGAAATACATAATTACCCCATTCAACTATAACACTTTTTTTTTAAAAACACTCAAACTTTATAAGGGTCCTAGTACCCCACTAAATAATTTAAAAGTGATATAAATATCTCATTTTTCAATTAATCCCACTTATAAAAAAGAAGGTGTAAGCACGCACTAATTATAGTTTGCTATCTGTCAATTTTATATAATTTCCTAATCTTTGTTTTTATTTATGTTTTTTTTTTAGTTTAATTCTTTATTTTTTCTTTCTTCGCTTAACCCATCCGTTGGTCTTCTTCGTTGTGGAGTGGCCGCCATTGCTACAACACCATTTACAACATTAAATCAAAATTAAAATTGGAAAATCAAATCCGCTTTCAAAATTTATTGTTTTCAAATTAAAATTTCTATCAAAGTCTTTTTTTTATGTGTTTTGCCTTTGATTTTTGCTCTAAATCAACTTGGGTTGTATTTGAAAAAAACATTGAAATAACGCCGACGATTCTATCTTCGAAGTTGCCATCATCTTTCCGGAGATTCTCACCCTAGACAGTCAAGAAGGAGAAGAAGAAATATGAGGATGAAACAACAAAAATGTTGTTGCTTCCATTATCAATGGGATTTTTTTGTCAGTGAAAAGGCATTTTATTTTATGTACTGAGATTGTGTTATTTAGTTACAATTAAATCTCTCCGTCGAAATCCAATCTAAATGAAAAACGAAAAGAGAGCAAAAAAAGAAGAAAAAAAAAAACTTCAAGCTCCTTCAATGGTGAAGCTCAGGAAGGAGTAAAATAAAGATTATTTATATAGTTAATAAAAAATATTGCAAAAGAAAAGTTTAATCTTACTTTTTTTGGTTTCCATGCTCTTCAGGCGAGTGATATACACTCTCTCTATAAAATATCGAAAAATGGTTCAATAATTTCACATTAATCTAGTTAAGTGGTGTATTAGGACCCCCACAAAGTTTAAGTGTCTTTTTCAAAAATACATCTTACTTTAATGGGGTAATTATGTATTTATAATAACTCAAAATTATAAAAATACATCAATAGTTTGAAATAATTACAAACATGAAACTCATAGAAAATAAAACTTCTAACATGATTATACAAGTATAAATAATCTAACATCTTAACTTTCTAATAATAAAAGAATCATTATTTCTAAAAAATTATTTCTATCATACTATACAATTTACTCCCTAAAAGAAAATAAACAATAAAACTTACTAGTATTATAATAAAAACTTCACTCCATCATGAATATAAATAAAATTACTTTCAAATAGCTAAATAAAATATGATAATTTGGAGACATAAGACAAAATCATGGAGACCAATCATAAGTGAAAAAATAAAAAATTTCTACGTATTTTAAAAGAAATATTGCGTAATATATAATCACCTTCACAGTGTTACGAAATAGTAAAGATACGATACTACAACTTGTTATTTGAGTTACTTTCAATCTTCTTATCTCTATAGATTAAAAAATTACTAAGTTTCATTCATTTATTAAAGAATTATGAGTGTCAACAATGTTAACTAGAGATTTTAATACATAATTTGTGCAAGATCTGTTAGGCAATTCCCTAACGTTGGGCGTTAGGCATGCTTAGGGAGTACAGTCGGGCGCTTGGGGCGTAAGTCTTATAAAACTAAGCCTCACACTTGAGTCTCGGGGGGTTTTGCTAGAGCCCCGCCCCAGGACGAGCTCCGAGGCAAGTCCCAACATAGTCTTTTAAAACACTGGTCCTACGTGACGTCTTACATATATTATACCATATAAGACGCATGTATTACGCCACGCAAAAAATATATGCAGTATACACTTATTTTCTAGTTGTATTACAATGAATATGCACTAGTAACTATTTCAAATTGATACATCTAAATTACTATATAGCTGGATATTTTTGACAGATTGAAACTCATAAGAAAAACACGATAAATGATTTGAGACGAAGAGATCAGTATTCTCTCCTAAATAGGACTCCCATACCCTTTCTCCAAGAATAAAGATTAACCAGATATAAAATATTTATATTTATATTTATCTTATCGTAAAAGTAAAACCAATTATAATAAATATGTTATCGTTTCTTCCAAAAAAAATAAAACACCCAATTATGATTTTAGAAATTAGGACAAACACCCAATAATATGTGAGTTTCTTAACAAATCAATTATATTCAAATCAAACTATGAAAATTGACAATTAAATTTGCAAGACATGGATTGTTTTCAAACGTATTTGAAAACGGAGATATTAATTGTCCTTACTTGTTCCTAGGTTTGTTTTTTTATCGCCTTGTTTCATTCACTTATTTATGTAATATATTTACCTTTTTATATTTTGGTGGAAAAGATCTAGAAATATATTTATCTATTGAGTCAAAAATGAATATATTAATTTAATAGCAGCCATTACGTAGGAACTAAAGAGTACTAGGAATAGCATATTGTTAGTGAAGTAATTAATCGATTGTACAAAAGTTGTTAGTATTTGACTAAATTAGAATTTATGTGTTATAGAGTTTATTTCTGAAAATAACGCTTCTAACAAAAAAAATCATTTCCAAAAAATTGGTTTCGACCCCTCTAATTAAAGGTAATTTTGGACCATCCTACCGTAATTCAGATTGATTAATTAATCGATCAACTTGCTAGTCCATCTATAATTCCTAATAATGTCAGAACCCATGCATCCATGCAAGTCCTTGCATTAAATAGCCAAAGAAAGTCTAATTTTGCTTATACAAAATTTGGAAGGATTTTTATATGTAGATAGAATCGTGGTATTCGGATCGACTTATGTGCATCTCGACTAAATTTTACGGAATATATGTCATTTCTCATCAACAACACATACCAGATAACTTTTTCCACCAAAGTTAAAACAAATATAAAGAAATTACTCAACATTTTGCCTATATTAGAATTTAAACCTGAAATATCATGATGCTCGATTAACCCACTTCATTGAAGAATTTTCTTTTTACAAAAGTAAAAGAACAAGTCATACTATTATTCATTATTTAACTTATCCCGATTCAATTCATTTCAACTTGAAAATTTTAATTTTGTATTAACAAATAACATATTCAAATTCAAGTCAATCCGTCCAAATTGACACGTAGATATCTACTAGCCGAAAATCACGACTCATCACAATATCATTTCTCCCTATATATATTCATCCATTTAGACACTTTTCTTCACCCATCAACACTTCCTTACACATAAAACCTTTTCAATCATTACAAAAATAGCCACAATGTCCAATCTAGCCTTTCTTTCACTAATTTTCACCATTTTCATATCCACTTCTAACGCCATTTCTCAATGTAACGGCCCTTGTAAAACATGGGACGATTGTGATGGTCAATTAATTTGCATAACGGAAAATGTAACGATGATCCTAAACGTTGGAACCAAAATTTGCAAAAGTAGCCCTCCTTCCGTCCCATCTCCAACTCCAACCAATACATGTCGTCCGTCTGGCACAATCAATTGCAACGGTGTACACCCAATATACCGTTGCTCGCCACCTGTCACCTCCTCAACGCCCGCTCAACTTACCTTCAACGACTTCGGTGAAGGCGGAGACGGAGGTGGTCCATCATCATGTGATGGGAAATATCATAACAATAACGAAAGAATAGTAGCATTGTCCACCGGATGGTTTGCAGGACGTTCGAGGTGTGGTAAAATGATACTAATTCGCGCTAATAACGGAAAGACCGTAACGGCTAAAGTGGTGGATGAATGTGATTCTACTATGGGTTGTGATGCGGAACATGCTTTTCAAAGTCCATGCAAAAATAACATAGTGGATGGTTCCATTGCTGTGTGGAGAGCTTTAGGGTTGGATACAAATTTGGGTATTGTTCCTGTCACTTGGTCCATGGTTTAGGTCAACGTGGAGAGACCGTTACAGTTATGAATTCGATAGAATTCAGTATCTTTATATAGCTCAAATTATATACTTCTTGAATAAGCGTGTCATCTTACATGTAATAAGATGTGCATTAGAGTTCTTTAAAAATAATCAACTATGATATAATTTCTGACTAATAGTAATGTTTATGTGGTGATGTTTGACTCTTTTTTTTAAAATATCATGTCATGATTTTATTACCCCTTGGAATTTGCAAAATTACTTCCTCTAGTTTTTAACATAAGGAAGTCATCATATCCGCAACTTGATTTGAGGTGAAAAGATTCTTGTCTTTGACCAACTATTAATACGGCTTTACTTTGTTTTCAAGTTGTTTGATTTGTCG